ACATACGATCTGTTGTGCATTTATTTTCGTGAAATGAATACTGCTTGGGAACTCTACCCAAGTGTGTTCTGCTTGCTTTTTGCAATGAGGCTATCAACGGCAAAGGAAGCAATGCCAGATTAGTTGTAATATTTCTTTAGGGAGATTTCTTATGTGCTATGAACCTAGCCTGCAGGGACAGAGATGTTAAATTCAATTAGTTCTTTTCATGGTAACTTATTTGGCGCTAATGTTAAGATGACATTCATATAGTAAGAAATATTTATTCTATTTTATTCTATATATTCTTAATTTTGTATCTTTTGCCCCTTGAGAATGCTGTGTTCAAAATAATCTAGGATACAAAAGAGCTTTAGAGCACTATTACAGGGAGTAAGAATATATGTTTACATGTTACCTTTTCTCCCTTTCTTCACCACCAATCAGTTTTTTAAGCAAATAATACCATTTTCTCTGGCTTCACTAAACTTCATATTGCAGATAGGGCAGTTTAATAAAATAATAATTAAAAATAAAAAATCCAATAGTGATGCTGCATTGTGGAACTTGTGGGCTCATTTTAGGCCTTCTGTTTGTGTTTCTTCATTCCCTCAGTTCCCAGATGTGCAGTGACTCATCCTACTGAACAATGGGAACAGCATCTCTTACTCCTTCACTTGGTCCCAGTTGGCAAAACTGTTACTCAGAGGATATGTATTGCAGAGGGAGAAAAGATTAGCAGTGAGAGAATGAATCATCCAAGCGTTTGTGGTAACTCTTATATGGTGAGCAAGAAGTTAAGGAAGACTTATGGTCTATACTGTGCTCTTGTGTACTAAAAAGGAGTATCTGAATTACGTAAAATTCATAACTCAGAGGTCATTCTGCCCCCTGGCCCCAGAAAACACAGGGCATGGATGGGAGACAGCATTTTGACATCTTGACTGATTATCAAGGAGAGGGGAAGAAAAAAAAAAAAGCTGGCTGGTTTGTATCAACAGTAACATAGATGATTGTCATCTCAGACTTTCTTGATACAACTTTCAAAATGTGAAATATACTGTCTGTTAAAAAGAATAAATGTCAGTACAGATCTGCTTAAGTGATGCATTCTGCTGTGACTGTGACAGAATGGTGCTTTGTGTCCAAGTACCACATGGGTTGAACTGAAATGACGTCTTTCAGTTTTTAAGAATATTTATGAATATTGTTAGAGTCTTTTTTTTTTTTTAAAGGAAATAGTCTATCAACAGGGAAACACAAGCAGATTTGAGTCTTTTCAAATCTGAAAAGACAGAAGCTCAAGAATCTATGAATGTAGTTGATCTGGGGAAGTTTCTTGAGCTGCCATGGCTTTTCTTGACACACCAGCCTGTAAAACATTGACACATCTGACCTGGACCCCTTTTTTTTGTTTGTTTTTTACGTGATCACACCATGATGTGGTTATCTTTAGGTATTTAAATATAGTATAATTAGTATAAATAGCTTTGGCTTCCATTTCTATTTTGCTGCTTGCAAGCATAGTTCAAAATAGATTGCCATGTTTGAAAGACAATTTTTTCACTAGAACTATTAAGACTGAAGTCTTCAATCTGCATAAAGATATTTTTAGTATCTGATGAATCGGTTGCAAATATTAGCTGCCACTTCTATAAGATGTCATGCTAGTACACCAGGAATAACTGGCTAAGATCTGGAAAAGGAGAGCATTTGAAGTGCTGAGCCAGCTTTTGAATGTAGTTGAGTGGCTAGCTGACTTCAGGGAAACTTGAAGATTTGCACTGAAAAAGCCAAACCAGCTTGTATATGGCCAGTGTCTTCAAGAGAAAAAAATAGTTCAACATTAGAGGGGCAGCTGATACTTTCTGGTTTTGATACTAATTTGCCTTGAATGGAAAACGTACCTTGATGAACAATTCAAACTCTTTTTGTGTGGTTTTTTCTATACATACATGTGTGTGTATATATACACACACACACAAAAGTATGTTTGTATGTGTGTATAATACCCAAAGCATGAGATGGCTTTGCATAAATAATACTTCATTGATGGAATTCAAGATTGCATTTGAGTGCAGCTTGATAGAAAGCTAAATGAACTTAACTTCTAGATCTAATTAATGTTGCTATTTATTTCCCCTGGATGACAAGGAAAAAATGAAAAGCTAAATGAATGTTCAGTTAATAAACTTGGTCTGATGAAAAATACTAATAGAAAACAAAAACACTAATACAAAACAATCCTAACACCTGGAGTTTCCATATTTTCCTCATTTAAATAAATTACAAGTTATTCATCAAGATGGTTGGTGCTGTCTGCAGTTGTTCTGTGCTGCCTGCTTGATGAACTTAAATACTCCACATGCTTCCCAGAAGCAACCAACTTTTCTATGAATCAGACTAAGATGTAGAGCGAGGTTATTGAAGTCTTTGGAGCAGGAATTGAATCCACACTTCCATGGGCAACAACACAGGACTTACTCAGGGAACCAACTTTAAAGTAGGGGGGGTTGAGTGTGTGGTGTGGGCTTGGACTGGTTGTTTTGGTGTGGGGTTGTTTTGGGTTGGTTTTTTTTTTTCTCCCTTCAGGTTTGTGTGCTTTCATGTTTTGAGCTTTTAACTTCAAACCCTCTGGAGCTTGTCAGGGATTTGTTGTTTTGACTGGAAACAGATATTTTCACTTAAGCACTGGATGTCTGTGAATTCTGTGCTAGAAGAGCATATTCAGACATCTTCAGATCCGTCAGACTGTGCATACGGTGTTCCCACCTGTTCCAGCAACCTGACTTGGTTACTCAGCTATCCAAGTGTTCTGCAGTTACTGCTTACAATTTCTCAGAAGGAATTTGGCTTAAACAGCTCTTCGTAACATTGCAATTAAGAAACCAGAGAAGTCTAGTTTCCCTAAATCACTGCAGAAATGAACGTGTGTGTTTTTCATAATCAGATTTTCTTACCACCTTATAAATGTGCAAAATGTTAAACTGATTGATGTGTGGGGCAGGAAATGGGGGAGACATGAGCTGTAAATCAGGTAACCTTGCTTGTATGTCCCAGCAGCTTACGTGCGCGCAGCTGTGTCCTGCTCCCAGCGTGGGAGGGTACACGGACAAGGCGAGGACTCTTAAAGCAACTGGGTAGAAAATAGGAACAAGTTGTATCGGAGGTGGCCTGTTTGCAGACTTGTTGCATGTCTAAAGGCATTGTGCAGGACAAAGGACAATAGAGAAGGGGTTTGTGTTTCTTTATAGCTTCAGTGACCTTTTCTTTTTGGGCTGTCCCATCTCCTAAATATGAGTAATGCTGTACAGGAAGACCTTTTCTCTTATTCATGCAGCCTGTGATATCTCTTCTGATCCAACAGAGTGCCAAAAAATACAGGAAATTACTTTCACCTTATGAAAATTCATGATTGTAAGGAAGCTCTTAGAGCAATTGTTCTTTGGAAACTTCCCCCCAAAAGTGCTGGTGATCCACTGTAAGTCTTTTGTGGTACATGGTAGCTTTTTGCAAATATGCATGTTCTTTCTCCTTTATAAAAAAGACACTGCCAGTTTTAAATGTTAGGAAGTCAGTTACAGCTCCTTTCTGTCTGTGCCTTATGTTGAAAGTATGTACTTGTGCAGTACGCTGAATCCTCTGGTCTCCAGTCTAATTCTTCAGAATGAACTGTTGTAGTGGCATCTGTTTACAGTTGTACTGGAGGGGAATAATTTTATTCTGCTGTCTCAGGCCTATGGTGTAGAGGAGAACGTATGGTTTAAGAATTTATATTGCTTTGGAATCTGAGATGATATTTTGAGAATGTTCTCATTCTGAGTTAGTAACTTGGTGAGGGCACTCACTGTCAGTTTGGTCATTACTGGCACGGCCCTGATCTGTGATATATATAATGTATTTTGCTGCCTAAAATTATGAAAAAAGTAGCAGGATTTTCTATTTTATCACTCTTATGACATGGCTACAACTGCAAGACACATCCTAAATGATGAAGAATGCTTTCTTACTGAACAGATCATCTTCATTTCATTGAAGAAATGAAGCGGAAGGGTTTGAAGGAGAATGGGCTTCTGCCAAAGATGGTTTCACTCCAGAAGTAAAGTCTGCATCTATTTGGAAACAATTTTATTACTTCTAAGAAGTATGTGTAGGGCTTCTAGTATCCAGTAATGGGAAGTGGCCCTTGATTTGTGTGTGATACACGAGCAAGCTTATTTAAAAATTAAAAAAAAAAAACCACCACAATCTCTTACATATTTTCACACAAAAATAAATTTTCTTTGTAAGTGTTGCCTATATTGTTCTCAATATAACTGCTAAAGGATTTTGTACAAGATCAGCAAATCTGTTATTAAAACCCTTGAGCCTAGAAGGGAAACTATCTGTAGAAAAGAAAGTCCTTCAGAATGTTCCTTTTTTTTTTTTTTGACAGCAAGTCTAGCTTAAATTGTCACAAATTGTGGGTGACTTAAATCTTTCACTTTTGTAAAGATATGCCAACCAGTCCAGGATATGCTTTTGTTCACTGTTACAAATTTTAAACTCAACACATTGGCTTCTAATAAATGCGTTTCACTTTTACTCCCACCCAGTGTCAGTTAACTGCATTCATCATACAAAGGGAAAAAAATCTAATTCTTCAAGCCCAAGCAAAGGACTGACTTTAATAACACTTCCTTTTCATTGTAAAGATTTACTAGATAGCTTTAGACATTTATTCAGATCTCTACTCAACTTTGATTTTTCTAGAACTAATAGAGAATTGTTTCTGAAGAAATTCTACCTCACCTACGTGTCAGTAGTATATGATGGCAGCTCTATTTCATTATCAGCAGTTTACGTGAATTAAGCTATGCAGGACTCCTATTGTTCCAGCTCCTGAAGCATATCAGGATGTTGTCCAAGCTTCCACATGTGATCTGCTATGTTAGACCTTGGCGTGTGTTGGAAAGTGAAAACGCCGTTGGATTTGCTATCCTAGAAACAAGCTTAGTTCCCGTCTCTTTCCTTCTCCACAGGGTGAATCGGTGAAATACTTCCTGGATAACCTGGATCGGATTGGTCAGCTGGTAAGACATACCTTCCCTTTCTGAACCAAAACAGCTTAAAGAGACAATGGAAGCCTGGGTGTGCTATGATTAATGTTTTTTGATTTGGTTTTGGTGGCTTTTTTATAATAATGCATTAAGTAACTTCAAAGTTCTTTACTCTAGAAATAGTAAACTCCACCCTTATTAAACTGAAGCTTAGTATTTATTCAATTTTTTTTTGACAGACAACAAATATTGTTTATGGACGTTTTATTTATGCACATATTTTCTTTTATCAGTCCTTCTCTGAATCTCATTCACTTTTTGTGATAAACTGATGGCTGGTGCTTCTTAAGGTAGCAGAATGAAAAATTACCAAATAAAAAAAAATTAGTAGCACTTGTAGGATTCAAAATCAGTAATGAAAACATCTGTCAGGAGACTTGGAGGAGAAGGAAGGGAGATGATTTTCTTAAATAGTAACAGTGATAAGCTTCTGAAGAACAGATCTCTACAGCAGTGAGCTGGGCCACAACTTGCAGTAGAATGTGTTGCCGTACTCACTGGTGATGGACTGTAAACCTGGAAGAAGCATTTCCACTAAAGCTTGCAAGATGTCCTTTGTAAGAATACTGAACTGTGAAAAACTAGATTTAAAAAAATATCCTTTCAGTGATGACTTGGAGATCTGCTTTACTGAACGCTATCTAAATGGCAATAACACTTGGCTAAGAATTTCATAATGATAAAACAGACTTCAGCCTGAAGATGGGAGGCCTGAAGGATAAAATGTGAACAAGTGAATTGGTCCTATATTTTTATTCTCGCATGTCCCAGGATCTTCTGTAGCTGTTTACAGATATGTTGAGATAAACAGTCAACAGTCCATTATTTTAAAGTTGAGTATTCATTCTTCACTTGATTACTAAAAAAACATGGCTCTTGTTGATTCCCCCCTTCCCCTGCCCTCCATTGCTTCAGTATTCTGGCATTAGCCAGCATTTTTGAAGGACTCTTTTGACACTTTTCTCTTTTCTTTTACAGAATTATTTCCCCAGCAAACAAGATATTTTGCTGGCTAGAAAAGCCACCAAGGGGATAGTAGAGCATGATTTCATCATTAAAAAAATACCTTTCAAGATGGTGGATGTAGGTGGACAGAGATCTCAGCGTCAAAAGTGGTTCCAGTGCTTTGATGGAATAACTTCAATTTTGTTTATGGTCTCCTCCAGTGAATATGATCAGGTTCTCATGGAAGACAGGCGCACAAATAGACTTGTAGAGTCCATGAATATCTTTGAGACAATAGTCAATAACAAGCTTTTCTTTAATGTTTCTATTATCCTATTCCTCAATAAGATGGATCTTCTTGTAGAGAAAGTAAAGACTGTCAGCATTAAGAAGTATTTCTCGGACTTCAAAGGCGACCCTCACAGGCTAGAAGATGTTCAACGTTATCTCGTGCAGTGCTTTGACAGAAAGAGGAGAAACCGTAGTAAGCCGCTCTTCACTGGTTTAGACACTGAAAACATCCGCTTTGTGTTTCATGCTGTGAAGGACACGATCCTTCAAGAGAATCTGAAGGATATTATGTTGCAGTGAAGGAGAGCAGCCCATGTTCTGTTGAAGTTTGCCAGAGGGTTAGATCAAAGTTTTTATCCTTTCTTTATGGCCCTTGCATGTGGTGTAGGACCCATGCTAATTACTTGGCTCAGGAATGCTGTAAACTAGCCAGTCCAAACAGAGGAGCTATAGGCCGAAGGAGTCAAATGTTGATGTTAGCTACTGAATCATTTTGACTAGAAACACTACTGAAACATGGCCATTGTAGGTTCTGTACCTAGTTTGGAATGCTGAATAACACAACCACCTTCTGCCTTCTTAGAAAAAAGAAATCTCTGACAAACCGTGTATGAAAGACATGTTTTAAATGAATATGCTCATTTTTCAGAGACACTAGTTGTACAAACTGCCTTTTTTGTAGTTTGGAGGTGCTGAATCAATCAGACTAATTAAGTGTAATGAGATTGGCAGCTGTATTGGAGAACATTAATGGAAGTGCTGTTCTTAACCCTTAGGAATACACCCAGATCTTGTGTGCGTGTTCAGCTTTGTCAAGGGTCTGGAATCCGCTTATCAAGGTGGATGCACAGCTCTTGACTGAAGGTTTTGCATGAGTCTTGTGAGGCAAAAGTCTAAAACTGTATAAGGAAACCAGTGTTGGAGTAAAATGGATGGGAAGTTAAGGCCTCGCTGATATGGAGAAGGGTTTATTTTGCACTATGTGTGAAGGGTATTACATCATGGGAAAACTGATGTCCTTGGTGAAGCAGCCTGTGCTAGAGCACCTGACCATGTATCTGGACAGTGGGTGCTCAACTGAGTTATACTTCATGGGAATTCAGCACTGTTCTCACACCCACAGTTGGCAGTATTTGTGAAGGTTCAGTATCTTGTGAGACAGGGCTTTATCTATATTCAAAAGTTTGAAAGCTGATTAAACTCTTAAGCAAAGGTTTTGGTAGTACAGCAGCTGCTTGATTAGTTCCCAACAGCTGACCTTATAGGAAGACCGAGCACCCTAGAGACCCCAGTTTTACAGCTGCACTGATGTGTTTGGACAGCAAGACCTTGCTGTGAAATTAGCCTTTAATTTGTGTCTTAATGGGATCTCTACCCTATACTAATGCACATTGTAATTCTGAGTACAGTCAAGTTTGGAGTTGCCCATTTTAGGCAATGGTTTGTGTGTAAAATTGCAAGAGGCTATGAATAATGTTGACATGAACTGTTAATTTCCTAGCTGTCTCAATCTGTGTAACTATAACTGTCAGGTGCCTTTTTTGTGTGCAGACATATCTGATCTTTTCTACTACAGTGGGGTACATGGACAAACTGAAGATCTGCCTTTTAAATCAGCGTTGTAGTGCTATCCTTTAGGTAACTTTCAAACATAGTTTACTGTGCAATTTTTGTCATAGTTTTTATCCAAGAATAAAACCTGAAGGGCTGTTTGTACCCGTAAAAAAAGTCAGCAGATTCCCTGGAGTTCTTATCCCCTTTGAGACTGTAATGGCATCTCAAAACAAGCAACGTTTTACTTCAGCTGGTAATCCCATGGGAAATGTGGTTGTTGTCCTTTCATGTTAATTTGGATAAAATGTGGAATCTTTCTTCCCCTCTGAAGCTTGCAGATGTTCAAATCAGTATTTTTGTGTAGTTTCCTAATGTAGCAGTCTTTTGGCTTTCTTTGTGCAGGCTTTAGAGTGGAAACGATGTGGCTGTGTCAGTGCTATGTAATGCGCACAGTATCGAGGTAAGAAGCAAGTGAAAAGTTGCAGATGGGAAAATATATCTTAAATTTGAGCAAGCTTAAACAGGAATTAGCTTCCTTGTAACAAGTCTTATTTTTGCCAGGACCAACTCTGCCTTTTAAATATTTATTCATTTTTAACCTTGAAGGGGAGAAGTGTTATGTGATTAATATTCAGATGGGGGGAAACTCTTAAGATTATTACATTTGAAAAGGTAAATGTTTCAACATGAAGTGATGCAAACAAGTTTACTTGTCATATAAGGTTTGTTTCTCTAAGCTTGTTTGGGTGAAGACTAAGACTTCTCAAAGCTTTCAAAGATTTTTGGAGTTCTTGGAGTGGAGTAGTGGTTTCCACTTCACACAAGACACTGGGAAAGAGGAGGCAGTTGTGGGCTGACCTAACTTCAAAGCTGACTTGACTTTATTTCCTAGTTTGCTTTGAGCTTTATTCTTTCACTGAGTTTTCTGGATGGGTTAATATTATGCTTGTTTTCTCAAGTGAGTTAAACATTCCCTTTCAACTGTATTTTTTCTCAAGAATTACCTCAGTTTTATGTCTGAATCTACTGTAGTTTTACCTGGGAAGCATAGCATGGAATTTCCTGTTCTGTTTTTCTCTTCATGCTCATCCATGATTTTGTATCCTTAGTCACGTTATGGATTTAAAACTCTGAACAGAGCTAATAATGCAACTTACATTTTAAGTAACTTAATCTGCACCTGAAAAAGAAATGGCATGAGATATCTCATATTGATCTCTCAAGCAATTTTTTTTTGTATGATAAAGCAGTTTTGCACGCTAAATCAGAGTTTTAGGGAACCAGTTTGATCACCTCAGGCCCATTATGGATAAAATGGGTCTAAGTGTGATACTGCAGACTGGATGAAAATCAGTAGTTTGGCTCTGTGTTCTGTTGAACTTTGATAGTGGTGGTTCACACCAGGAACCCAAGATGGGGAAACTCTTCTTGCAAAAGTCAAGCATTTCTCAAGATTGCAAAGGATCTGGCCCCTGAGTAAAAAGGATTTTTTTTTTTTTTTTTTTGTGTGTGGCATCTTTCTCTGAAAAACACACTCCACTTCTTGCCACAACTGAGGGGTTTTGTGTTTGGGTTGTTTTTTCTTTTCAAGGTAAGTTGCAGTATAATAAAGCCAGAAAATCATGTTATGGTAAATCAGTTAATTACTAAAGCACAACTTAAGTAGGTTGGATTGTCCAAACATCTCGGGAGAGGCTTGGTTGGTTGCTTAGTCCTTTCATAAGAAACAAATAGAAAACTTTATTTTAAGTGACATCCTGGAGAATTTTGCAGGTAAACACAGCTGGAGAGAACATCTTTTTTTGTTAACTTTATAGGCTTATTGTTCATTTGGCTAGTCAGGAAATGGGTCACAGGCAGGATGATAATCAGATGGAGACCCTGAACAACTGCTGCTTTTTTTTTTTTTAAAAAAAAAAAAAAAAAAAAAACTAAAAAGCCAGCCTTTTGCTGTCCCTCCTCTGATGCCCACAGGTCAATGACCAGTGATGGAGTGTTGCAAATGGGTTGTCTCTCAAGGACAAAGAGAGGAAGTGCTTGCAGGGGAGATGTATGTAATCTTGCAGTTTAAGTAGAAGAACTAACTAAATGGGAGTCATTTATCAAACACTACTTCATATTTATTGTCCTCAAAACAGGCTTTAAGCTAATATAGCGCATCAGTCAGTACTGTTCCTTCAGATTGTAGTGCTGTCATGCTCGGAACAATTCATAGAATCGTAGACTTCTTAGATGGCATTACGAGGTGACGTGGTGAATTGGAATTAAAAAGGAAGAACAGTTTTAAGTGACACATTTAATAAGCAGTTGTCACGTTGATGGAATTAAATAGTTCTTAATGTTGAAAATGAATTAATTTTAAATATGGAATGGAAATTACTGGCCACTCGACATTACACTACAACTCAAAGACACTTCCAGTTTGATACAAAGAATTGATCTTTTTTGTTTAATATGGCAGTATATATTGACTTACTTGATAATATATTACGTTTTTAAAATACTGCTGTGTAAAACCTAGAACTAGGCATGTTACAAGCATGAAGAAGCTCCTGAAGATGACAGTTTACAGGCTTTCTGAGGCAACTAAAGCGTGAACCTCCGCCAAGCAGACAGAGCGGAGAAACTAACAGCAAAAAAAACGTAGTGAAATGGAGTAGGAAGAGCTCATCTGTGTGTAGCACTGCGGGCAAAAATGTAATTCCACTAGGATAGCTAAAGTAGTTTTTGGTACGAAAAACGGTGCATTTGAAAAGTGTGTCCCATCCTGTCTGTGTGTTGTCCCTCCATCCCCCGGGGCACCAGTCCTGGTTACTGTAGTCTGCAAAGAATGGTAGAATTAAGGGAATTACAAGAATACACATGGAACCACTGAAGAAACTAGCAGCTTGCTTTAGTGACAGACAACTATCTTCCACAGAACATCATTTTAGAAAACAAGCCCTTTGCCTTGCCTTTAGGTGGCTGTCTGTGGATATTAACTTCATGTTTTGGAGCCTTTTTTATGTACGTGCCTCTTGTTCTCCTGGGGGGGAAAAAACCAATTCTGCTGCGTGGATCTGCAGGATTTCTGTAAAAGGCCCCTCTGATTTTTTTCAAGCAGTGAGTTTTGACACCTGACTTAACTTGATGACACAAGCAAAGTTTTCAGGAGTACTTGTTGGGCTGATAGTTTTGATTCATGCCAGCTTGAGACACAAATGCGGTACGCAGTAACACCTCCATACACTGCGGCTTGTCGTGTAAGCCAAACACTGATCTCTCATGATGAGAACTATATTGATTCCTGTACACTTAGTAGTAGACTCTTTTCTATATCATTTTTCTAGTATAAAATCACATGGTGTAGTCAGGGGTTTTAACATAGCACTGCCAACTCTTTACCTCAGTACACTCTTTATTAATTCTGTAACATGGGAAGTGGTGCTTCGGGTGTTTCAGTAGCAACCAGAAAATGTCTGTGCCTACTTTTGTAAATGGGGCTGTAACAGATTTCTAGGGAGCATCCATTATGGGAGAGGAAGACTTGGCATGGTCTGGGCCAGACTTGGGCTGAGTTAATATTGACTCCACACACTTCTAAATGAGGACTGTCTAGCCTAGTGAGAAGTAATTGGCAAGATAATACAAGACCTAGTGCTTTTTAATATTAATTGTTTTGTGATTAGCTGGGGTGATCTCTGCTTTGTGCTGTGAAGTGAGCACTTCTTTGTTTTAACACTAATCTTTTTTTTTTTACATAGGTGGAAATGAGTAAAGCCAGGTTATTTAGAGCTGAAAACTGCTGCTCTGCTAACCAGGTGATGCATCTCTTTGCTCATCTTGGTGGTTGGAAGTTTAGCTTGATTCTTGACGTTTTTATCTTTCTAATGGCATTTGGAAAGCGGTGTTGAAGTTTGTCTATGTGTCGATACGCTTGTTTTCTTATTGGGTGGGGAGTATGGAGGTACTAGATGGTCAGTGCTAGTGGTTCTGTGCCTGGTTTGACGAACTGTATCACAGCTTAGCTCTTGGCATATGTCCGAAGGTCATCTCTTCTGTCTGACATGAAAACATTCACAGTCAGAGAGGAAAAAAAGAGCAGCACTGACTTCCAAGGTGGGCATTCTGGTAAAAAGAGCCAAAGTATGTTGGAAGGGAGCAAGAGAGGGGAGCTATTTTCTAAACAGATCCCAAATGCTGATGGGGCTTGAAGACTGTGTGGAAGTGAAATGCCATCTGCATTGACCCCAAAAGCTTTGAGTGACTCCGGAGAGCTAGTGGCTGTGAATTAACAGCAGCAGGCTGGCAAGGCTGGCCCTGCTGCAGCTGCACGCCCTTCCATTGTAAATCTCTTCATCAGTTCATAATCAAGTGCTAAAACTCAATTCCTACTAGAACATGGTATGCAGATCTCTGGCCAGACAGTGCATCTTACTCCTTTCTAACAGCTACTTAAACTTTCTTCAAGATACCAGAGTGTGAGTATTTCAGGGGAATGTCTAGGTAACAGACTGTTCCCATCATTTGAATAAAAACTGACACTGATGGAGAGCAAAATTTTTTGAGAAGTAGGACCCGAGAAAGAGCATCTTACGAGGGAAGTATAGGATTTGGAATAGCACTGCTTCTCTGCCAATACCTCCACTCAATCTCTTGTGCTGAGCTTGTGTGCAGGTGGTTGGGCACAAAACTGAGAGAAGATAGCAGGGAGAAGGGGGATGTGGAAGAAGAATGATTTTTTTTTTTTTTGGTAGGTCACAAGACTTGGAAAGCGTGCTTGGTGGGCTTAGGTTTGAAAACATGTTCAAACTCCCGTTTGCATTGAAGCCATTAACTGTCTTTAGGATAATGAGTGTTTTCCCAGTGAACAGGTTTCGTTATCTGGCATGTCTAATGAGCTTGAATTGATGATACACATTAAACGGTATTTCTGAAGACTCCACTTAAAAAGGCTAGTATTTATTGCTCTTCTGATGAGTTGTCTTGTTTATGGAATCAATATGTATGAAAGCAAACTGACAAAATGCAAAGTTATCTTGTGACACAATCATGTAGCTAGGAAGCCAATTAATGTTATCTTTTATTCTGCAATTTACTTGCTCTCTGGTGCCTATGCATTATAACACACATACTATGCAATATCATTCTTTCTTTTAAACCAGTTCACTGCATCGGGCAAGAAAGGCCTGAGTTTAGCCTTAATTTTCTAACAATTCACAGGAAAGTACTTTAAAAACAGTGACAAACTAAAAGAAGGTGAAAAATGCATAAAGTAAAAGCACAGTTCCGGACTGCTCACATAAGTGTCTTTCTAGCACCAAACAGCATCCACGATAGAAGCAGCTACTTGCTGTGATAGTTTCAATTTATGAAAACTGTGTACTAGATAAAATTATATTGTGATGTGTAAAAAGTGTATTTTATAGCTTTGGTGACTTAGTTTACTGTTTTGTATATATGAATTTTATAAATCTATTAAAACTTGACTTGTTATACTGTTCTTTATGGGTTTTATCTTTCAACAAAGTCTAGAGTGACATTCTTTGCTTATTCAAAAATTTTCTGTGCGAGAGCTGCTTTTTGAATAAATTACAGCATGAACTGCGTGAAACTACAGCTGTCATGCAATAAAGTCTTGTTCTGTAATCTTTACGTGTCTCCCACCTCTCCAGTTCTGGTCTGAGTCATTCTTCCTGAGTGCGTCCAGGAATTGAAGGCTGGTGAAACATTAGCCTGTATAAAACTTGCAACTCATTTGTCTGTAGCATTTCAGCAGCTGACTTAGGCATCAGAACTGATGGGAAGTGGAAGGGGAGACACAGCTAGAGTTTGTGCTTATGTATTTTAAGCTCAGCAAGAGAAGATAATTAAGCCTGTTGAGTTGGCAACACCTGTCAGAGATTCCTCTTCTGCTGTGTAGCATCTGATAATAGCCATAGGAACTGTACTTGCTGCTTTTCCAGTGCCGGCCTCCTCTGTTGGACTCGCTCACTCGTGTGCCGTGGTACCTTGTACAGCAGTGCAGAACCAGTGACCTTTGGGGAGTCTTATGGTGTTGCCATCCTGGCATCCTGCCGGAACTTGAGCTCCAGTTCTTAGGAATGTCGGTAACCTTTCCCTGCTTGTACTTTGAAAGGTCACATCTGGCAGATTTTTGTGGCAAGCCTTAATTGTTTCTTGTGTGAACTGGTAATGCCTAATCAATTACCTTGGCAGCTACAGAATTCGAAGAACTTCATGGGGTGTTATTTGCCCTTTCTACTAATCATTGGAAATGTTAGGTCCTCAGTTGCATCAGGCTTTTGGGAATAGTTGACTTTTCCCTCGAGGTGCTGAGCACGTTCAGGTAACAATGTGTATTGTCAGTGTTCAGCATCTCTGAAAATGAGAGCAGATGAATTGCACGTTCAGTATGCGCTAATAGGAGGTTTCCAGCTGTGATCATGTACTTTCTAATCTGAAAAGCCCTCAGCAGCAGCTCCAAGTGATCTCTTCGGTCAGCTCTGTGAAAGGAAATTACCCCTTTTCTGGGCCAAAATTTTCCTGTGTGTTGCAGGCCTACAAGATAGGATATAGAAGAAGTTTAAGGGGTTTCTCGCTGGAGCAAGAAAGGGCTCTTTCTGGCAATACCTGCTGGAACACATTGGTGCTGTAACAGGGCTGAGCCAGGCTCTTGAGGCACCTGACCAGCAGATGGGGAAGGGGGTTGTTTTAAGTTGTTGCTTTTGTCTGCTCCAAGGCTGGTTGGGGTTTGGTTGGCTTGTTTTCATGGGGTGTGTCTGATGTCTGAATTGCTGAATCTCCCAAGCTCCAATCAAAACAAGAAATACGTTGTCACTGGAGTGCCCACCTGAGCTCAGTCCTTCCCTAGTCAGCAGTTGTGAGCAGGTGCTTAAACTGCACCAATTTCAGTAGAATTTAACTTTTTATTTGGAACGCGTGGTGAGAAGCTTGAATTGGAGTATCTTAGTGACACCATTAATACTTCTGCATCTCAATCGACCCCACTTCATATGGCAAAGATGTCCCTTTTGTAATTCAACTGCACATGTTGCCCCATAAAAACAGAGGCTGAAGCAGATGGTTCTGCAGGTAAATTTGGCTGTTCAGTGCCAACGAATGCTGCTACTCTCCACAGGGAGCTGAAACTCAATATATTGACTTTGATTTCTCTTCTGTGGATCAGCATGGCTACCTGTTATTAGAGAGTCTCTTCTGCAATTTCAATAACCCAACACTCCAAAGATAAAAGGGAGAACATGGCTATTTCCGCAGGGAGAGACTTCCCTAAAATGCAAACTAGGCAGGGCTATATAGCTTTGTATTTTTGCTAACGTGTACAAGGCGTCAGGCTTGGGGTGGTTATAGTAATATCTAAGTATTCATTAAGAGAAATTAAATCCCTGTGGTTTCCAACTCCAGTCTGGTATCTCATTATATGTACAGTCCTGGGAGGAAGTTTGCTCAGTTACTAACAAGAACTACCAAATGTCTTGCCACTCTCCCCAGGACTGACGAGCATCTTGGGAAGCTGCATGGTGTTAAGGAAGGAAGAGTTACCAGGAAGAGCATTCAGGGATTTTTACAAAATGTAACTTTCCTTTAAAGCCTCAATTTTGCACAGCAGAAATGGACTTCAGTGAAAAGTACTGTTTTTAGGGAAGGGAGGTGGTCATATCCCCTATTAAATCAGCAAGTGCGGGATACTGCTGATATGTCTGTGGAAGACACTGGTTTCTCCTCTCCCCTCCTGTCTTTGCAAGCTGTTTCACCCCTAACTAGCAAAGCATCTGGGGTTTTTTGTTGTTTTCCCTGGACAGTTGCGTTGTACCCGCACTCCCTTCAATTACAGCAACTCCTAGTTTTAAGAATAGGAGTGGAATGTTCTGCCTGTTTATTCTTGGAAGAAGATATTTGTCTTTATGAGCTCGTAAAGCTATTAAAAGACTCTGTTTTCTGCTCTGTTCAGGATTATGGACTTTAAAAGTTGCTTCAAAACAAGTGCCTTTGAGCTTGGGGCAGAAAGGGTATGACTGGAGTTACTTTGATCTTGGAGGATGCTCTAGGTAGCCACAGGATGGTGTGGTTTGGGAGATGTTCTGAGCCAGATGAGTCTCACGTTGAGTCCATGTTGTACCCCCGCTTTTAGGGATCGTTACATGGAAGTTAACAGCGATTTCAGGAAGCAGTTAACCTGGTTCTGCTGGGGGATCTCCTGAAGGTGGCAGCCAGGTCAGGTGCAGAGTTCATTTCTAGATCATCTACCTGTCACAACAAGGCACCCATCGGTCACGAGGCAGAGAAACGACAGCGCTGCCTTCCTGGGGGCTGCAGAGGGAGGCTGCCAGCCAGAGCCCTGAAGCAGAGCTCTGGGGCAGGCCGCTGGTACCGTTGCCCTTTGGGATTTAACTTCTTTCCCATCTGGGTGCCCAACTCCTTTTGCTGCCTGCCTTCCTGCAGAAGGCTTCCCAAACTGTGGCTGAAGTGCTGCATAGTGAATGCCTGGGTTCTCCTGCCCACTGCCTACTACACAGTGAAACTCTGTTCCTGGACTATTTGTAACCAACTCCAATCTTGGCTGCTGAGTTGCAAGTAAATTCTGGGTGTGCATTTATATATAGAGTACCCTACTACTTCTTGCTGATGGTTGACCTGCAGCCTGACCTTCTAAAATGACTCCTAAGTATTTCTGTATTTCTGGTCCGCAGCTTACTCAGCAGGCTATTAGCTGCAAGTTACGCTGTTCTTCCCACACCCTTCCAAGTAGAAGTATCTCCCCAGAAACCTGCTGCTTAAAATGCAGGAAATCTTCTTTAGGGGCTTACCTTTGCTTTGTTTTACTTCTACTTCCTCTGTCTGTTGTTTTCTGCCCCTCTACAACTCTGGTACACACAGAGAGAAGCGTAGGAATTGCACCTTTGTGCTTTAGTCCTGGTTATAACCTTGATTTTCAGTGTAACCTTGGCCAGTCATTTTAGTCATCTCTGACCCAGGTTGCCTCCAGCCCTTTCTCACGCTGGGGTAGACTGTGTAGTGTTAAATGCAAAGTACTACTCGCGGACCCTGGGAACAAAATGTTATGTTGTGCTGCAGTGTGCAGCAGCACTGGAAACCCTTGCTGATGTGAAGAGTAGCCACCTCCACAGGAATGTCTTTGAACAAACAAAAACCTGCTGCGTAACATTGCGTGGACTTTCTCTACTCCAGTTGCCTAAGGGCTTAAAAGCATAAAAGCCGCTTTCCGTGGGTCATCACAAAGTTTCATCGTGCCTATGGACCCTGCTGAGCTACCCACGCAAGGAGGTGAAGCTCTTGAGTTGCTGTGCTTACTTATTTCTTACCTGGAGCACTTCTGGACAAGCTGAGCCAGTAAGTGGTGGTTCTGTCAGTGATGGTGTCAAAAATATGTTATTGGTAAGCAACAGCTCTTAGCAGAAATGCATGCTTTCACAAGGGAGCTAACGTGAGTCTGTAAGCCAAGTGTCACGTAGGGAGTTTCTCACCTGTGACTTCTGCCGGCGGTTCATATTGTTTCTGTGCCACCCCTTTGCTCTGTCGTCTTTGGACTTTGTTATGACAGAATGCTGTATCTTTTCCTTTAGGCAATATTGTCATCCTGAGTTTATGGTCTCTTTCTGGAAAGTTTCTGAAGTTCAGCCTAATGATTCAGTACAGAATCGAGTAAGAGCAAACAAGACTGAATAAAAAGTAATCTCTTGCTTAAGATAGTAAATCTGTTAAGGCAACAACTGAGCAAGTATGGGGGCAGGACATGGATTTGTAAATCAAGCAGGATTTTTTTGGAAAACTCCTGCTGCTGGGAAGAATGCCTTGGATGAGAACCCCATAGCCTTTGAGGCTGCCAGGAGAGGGCGGCAGCAGTGGCTCTGCTGCACCGCGCCTGCCCCGAGTCCAGGCGCTCGGCCTGGAAAATATGTTTCCAGGAATTGCCGTCATCGGTCCTGAAGCCAGAACTCCCTCTTTCTCCCTGTATGAATCATGCGGATGTGAAGTTGCTTGTGTTTCTGGAATCCAGTTGAATTTATTACGAGAACATCTTTTCTACTCACCTGTGCAAGTAAATATCAAGCTTTTCTCAAATGTCTTCCAGTGATTCTTTCCCTTCCAGCTCCAAAAATGCATTGCAGGGTTACTGCACAGCTTGAGGCCCTCAAAGGGCATAGGCAAGCACTCAGGAAAGCCAAAGCTATTAGTTCCTCCGAGGGAAACATCTCTCTCCTCCCAGCTGAACTGGACCCCGTCCTACCTGCTGATATTTTTAGATGGAAGAAATCTGAAGCGTGGCCGTGTAGCTGTGAGCTGTAGAGACCGTTATCAGTGCTGAGGGCTGAGTGAACTGGGGATGGAGAGGGTCAGCCTTCCCCCAGTGCGCTGCTGTTACAGAGCTCAAAAACCCATCGGCCTCTTGAGCTCCGTCTATAAATAGCCGGAGAGGAACGGCATGCCCCGGCAATGGGAAGGCAGGCTCTGCAGCTCCTGGTGCCAGCACAGCACCCGTTCCTGCTCAGTGAGTCGGAGCAGAAAAGAAGGAAAGGGCCAGGGTGTTAGCTTCTCAAGGCAGAAAGAAAGGAATGCGTGTGTAGTTCCCCCTTTTAAGTTAATAATCAATGAGGGCATGAATATTTTCAAAGGTTTTCTCTCCTGTGCCAACCTACAGAGGATGTGAGTAGTTACAGCTCACGGCTCCAAGCCTGGCTTTCTTTGAACTGAAGCAGCTCTGGAGATCCCCTTGAGTGTCCGCCAAAAGGCAGTCGTCACACTAACACTGTTCTTTATGGCAGATGAGCTGCCAGGGTTCTTTATGCTTCACTTGCTGACTCTGTGCCTGTCCTCCTCCATCTCTTTCCCCCCCTACTCATAGCATGAGTCCATCAGCCTCGTTGTGCTCAGCGCAACCTCCAGCTGATGGGGCGGCAACTAGAACAGAGATGAACATTTGGTATGGGGGGAAATGGGGAGGGGGAAGTAATATCTGTGCCCTGGTTTAATTTGCATCTGCTTGTTCAGATGGACCAAGCTTCTGTGTGAATATGTTTAGTGTTTAGCATAGACCTCTGAGCCCTAGCTGACTTCAGACCAAATGAAATACGGCAAGAAAATACAAGCACCTACATAGGACTTGATGTGGGTTTGGAGTCACGCTGTCACTTAGACCAGCCCAGGAAAAACCCTTAGAGAAGAACTGATCACATCAAAAATACATTAGCAATCTCAGAAAAAGAAACACCTTTTATTCCTGCGGGGAGTTGCTGTTCCTCTCTGACAGCAACAACCTGTGGTGAGAAAGGTCAGAAGCAGGGCAGTAACGTGAGCAAAGCTGGCCCGACCCAAGGCAGACCCAGCCTAGTTTTCCTCCCATCGCCAACGGTGAGGGGACGATTCCCCTTTGGACAGTTTTCTGGAACTCAGTTTCCTCCGCAAGGAGGAAAATTTGTCTCCGAGAACTTTCCGTAGCCCAGTGTTGTCCCTAGCAAAGGGTAGGTCCTTCTTCATAGCAGGGAGTTGTCCTGTAAACATTTCCCACTTAGCCAGGGCATCCACGGTCTTGTCTACCTGAGCCAGTTCCTCCTCAGAGACGTTCCTCTCCAGGGCAGCAATGCACATCTCCAGCCACAGTTCATAATCCTTAACGATGTCTGTGGACTTGGTGGGCCTGGCAAGCTGGGGTGGGCTGTGCGCCTCGGCCAGCGAACACGAATGCTCATCCTGTTCCAGCTCCTGGCCGATGGAGAGGGCTTGGCTGCAAGTATCCGGTGTCAGTGGCTCAGACAAGGAGGTCACAGCCTCTGAGTCGTTCTCACAGCACATTCCAGAGTCTGAGCTGAATGGAAGGATGTCCTCTGAGGTGGACAGGTCTGCTGACTCCTGCCTTGGCCATGTGGACAACACAGTCTGCGTCCAAGCGTAGAGTTTCTGTAGTGAGAGGGGAAAAGGTTTCATTTTAGAGACCGAGGGAAAACAGGTACGCCTTTCCCGGTGCTTGTCAGGCAAACCTAGTCATCTTGGGTGGCTCAGCTTCAGATGCTACGGTGCTGTCTGCCCGGAGATGCCTTCAGACAACTCACGGTTACCCTACAAAGCACAGGCTTTCTCTTGTGGCTCATTTTCTTGGAGTCAGCATCTGTGGCAGTTCTGCCCTCAGTCAGATGTGGACTTTATCTGCCTTATTATTGAGGATGGTAGGAGAAAAACCGGCACAAATTCACGCCGTGTGGATGTGATCTCTGCGAGAGCCAAACCAGTGCCTTTCTAGAGGGAGCTGTGTCATTATAAAAGCTCCCGAGAGTAGCGGTGAAGAGTCTTGTTTTACCGTATTGTTAACTCCTGTCGTAATGTGCATTTTATTCCTAAGAATAGCTTTTTCCCTCTCGAGCTGAAATGCACAAGTGGGAAGGCCGGGCTCCAGGAAAGAATTAATGAAAGGAAAATGTCTGAGACAATTTCCTTTCTAAATAGTAAATGCTACAATGGGGCATATAACGGGTTGCTTCTGGCACATCTCTCCCTTATGCTTTGGGGATTGAGTCGCAGTACTCCAGTCGCTGCTGGATAAAAGGTGATCTCCTTGTCTGCCTTGTTGGCACGCATTGGGGTTTTTTTGTGTGTTGTTTTTCAGCTTTTTTGTACCCTTGTGGCCTCTTCCTCATCTTTACTTTCTGCAGCTCCCGGCTGATAACCTTTGCCAAGCCCTGCGATTGGGAGACACGAGGGTGGCAGAGTATTAACCTGAGCTGCCGGTCACTGTGCTGCGTCCCTGCGGGCTCAGCTCCGGGTGAGCTGTGGTGTTGGAGAAGCGGGCAGAAGCTTTCCAGCCCTACAGAGCTCCCCTCTCCCGCTGCGCCCCGCTGCTCCCTCCCCCTTCCCTCCTCCATTGCTCTCTCTTCAGGCAAGTGACAGAAAGGATAAAGAACTCAAATTGAGTGGGTGGGAGAAGTCGGCCCTGTTTCTCATTTCAGTCTGTGCATGAAGCCTCAGGGAAGAATTTCCTACAAGAATGAAATGGACTCTTTCAGCTAAGTTAATCCACCCTGCCCCCCTCCTTCTGGGGCAAAAAAAAAAAAACTGTAAAGGGACAAATTTTCTCCTGCCTCATCCCACCTCCAATAGCCCTTCTCTCCCTCTGGGTTTAGAAAACAAAGGCGGCACCAGAAGCTGCAATAGGAGCCAGACAAGGGCAGGGGACAGTAAAGCTATTTGAAAGCTGCAACCAGCCCATGATTTTATACCGTCTCTTAAAATTCCCAAGAGTAGTGCATCTGGGAAGGAATCACAACTGTGACTTAGCCCAATTCCCAAGAAGAGACAAAGTTGTGAAGAGGAGCATGTTCAAAGAGTACATTTAGATTATTTAAGGCAAAAGGAGACGATTGACTCAAGATCACCACCCCAACCCCAAAATCTTTCCTTTCTCTCAGCCTTTGGGTTGTTCATTGATTCAAATTTGGGAAGGGTTTGTAGGGCTGCAGCCTCTTTTTCTCTTCTATTTACCTAGAAAGGGGTAACCTCTGCATGGGTTTAGCTTACCTGCAGGCAAGAGCATTTGAAGTGGGTGCCCACTCCAAGGAAGTCACTAAGAATGATAACCCATTGTCTGACACCTCCTGGGGCTCTAGGTATGGCACTGCAAGTTTTTTCAACCCCCTCTGCCCTGGCAGCACTGTCATGCCCGGCAGCAGATACCGCAGTGAGACCGTGGCGAGGCTGTAGCTAACCCAACCTCTCGGAGCAGCTCGAGCACCGCTTCCTTCTGCAAGCTCACCCGGGCGCTACGTGCAGAACAGCCTGGGATGCTGCAGAAGCAGCAGGTGGAAACGTTGGCTGTGGTGGGGAAACACTACGAGAATTGATTTGCTTTTGGTTTTCAAGATGACTCACGCTGGAATAAGCGGCTGTGATGAAAAAAACTGGAGTATGTTTCTGAGTGCAACTCGGATAAATAAATTGAGGGGGTCTTCCTCCTGCATAAGGACTGGTTTCCTGTCCCACATGTTTATCTGCCTGTAACCGTGTCTCGGTCACGGACTTCAACAGCATTACCTGCTCCTGGCGAGGAACAGCTTTGTGTCTGGTGTTTCCTGTATTTATTATGAGCGGCTGGGGCTGTTGTGTGGCAGGTGGGGATCTGTGCTCGTTTTCCAAAGGGAAATGTGACGTCAGACTTGCGCTTGGCCCGCCACAACCTCTCAAAACATGCTTAGCAAGTAGCCTTGCTATCTGATACTGTCTTCAAATGCTTTGTGCTCTCTTCTGTTGGGTTCCTTAACTATTTAATTCATCTCTGGCATTTATATTTCCTCGCAGTGCTATAGCAAAACCTCTTACAGAAATTATCGCCACTCTCTTATACCAGCTTGTACTGTATCTAGCTGAGCTTCTCCTTGTCAAGGAAGCAGATGTGACATTTGGCAAGTGTATCTTCTCTTCAGGTTTGTGTTCACTGCCGCCAGGGGATGCTGAGCCAATTGCAGTATTTACTGCAGGTATAAAGGCAAAAAATATTTCTGGAGAAGCTTAAAGTGGATGGTAGTTCCCTTCTAAAAAGCAATAGCAGCATGCTGATAGGCTGGGTGTTTAAATAAACCAGAATTTATTCCTCTGGTAGTCTGGGCAATTTAGGGACCTCTCTGGCAGAAGCAGGGACCAAACAGCCCCAGGGGCAGAGGCAGGTCTAACACCAACTCAGACACACAGACAAGCAGCAAAACCACACAAATGTGGGGGTTTTCTCCCCCACGTCCTTCGCTGTGCTTCTGTGCACCTGATTCTAAGCTGAATGAAACTAGAGGCATCCCCGTTCTCATTCTGTGTCTATCTTGTTGCAAATATAACCCACAGACTTTAAAATAGGCAGCCGTGGAAAATCCTGTCTCTGAACATGATGTGTGTCAGACAGGAATTATAACCAGGGAGAAGATACAGTACTGAGTGAGAACGATGATGTTATTTCTATTCCACCAGCCATTTAACTACTGAATTTGGCTTTTTTGACAACAGAGGTAGAAAACCCTTTCTAGAGCTAAGGGCATCTTAGCACTATTCCTGATGTCTAAATGTGGTGTTAGAAGTTCTATGGGTGGGAGAGAAGAGACAAAAGATGAGTCTGGGACCCTCCACTCACTAGGGAGTAATAATTTGGGATGGCTTCTCATAGCTTTAAACAGAGGAATTGCAGCACAGTACGCACTTGGTATTTTCTCCCTGTTCCCAGCAGCCCAAGAGAGGCAAAAACCCCATGGTGGCACATAGGAAAGGGCATGGATGTGGGAATTGCTGTGCTCTCGCTGCTGTTCTGGCTTGAAATCTGCTTGCCCTCCCCGCCTTATTTTTGGAAGTAGCCAAATGTGGTCGGACTGTTGTGAGCAGGCAAAAGCCCTAGAGATTGTGTAAAGCACTATGTTAGCCGCACACCATGTGTACAACATCCCCCTTACTTAGGTGTAAGCTTTCTCTCTCAGCACCTTGCACTGAGCTGCATCTGTGCGTAACACGCTGCTGCAGCGTATTTAGTGCTGTGGTTTGGGGTGAGCTGCTCTGCTCCCTGCTATGTCCCCTCTGCTTCAGGGAGGGCTGGTGGGTCTGTCTCTCACCCTGTAGCGCTCGACAAGTTTGAAGCCCACGACGTGCTGCAGCTTCCGAAGGCAGATGGGACACGGCTCCAGGGGCCTCAGCAGGGCTTCGTCCAGGCTCAGCGCGCCCTGCATGATGCACTGCAGCCAGCGGCAGGTCCCCAGCCCCATCAGGTGGCAGATCTCGTGACAGGTCACCTGTCAGGAAAGCAAAAATGACAGGAGCACAGGGTCAGTCTTGCTTCCACTGCCCCCTCCTCTTCTTCCTCTGCTGTTCCATTTTCCCCACTCCCGGAGAGTCTAATTGACTCATTGCTCAGCCCTGGTGGTTCTTCAGCCTAAGCTTTTCCAATGTGAAAGGGGAATGTGGCTCCCTCCTTCCCAGGTACCTCAACATCCATGTTTGTATGATGGAGGAGGAAGGGTGGGTGTTTTTTGGAAGCAGCCAAGGGAAGAGCATGTTGAGAGCTCTAGGGCAGTGCTGCTGTCACTCTCTTCCCCAAGGACAGTGTTGGGTTTTTTTAAGGGGACAACCAGTCCCACAGGGGTCTGAAAAGAGCAGCACAGTCAACAGGAGAAATCTGTAAGAAGCTATTGGCAATAACAGATCTGGGTCCTTCCAAAACAGACGCTCTGAACGTTTCTGCCAAAGCAAGAACTAAGCTGGAGTCAGCCTGCCAAGCATGACTGCCTTGGGAATTGGCAACCATGGAGAGGCTGAGGATGGAGGATTCCCTTCCTCCTCCCATTGCCACCTAACATGATTTGAAATTACTACAGGAAGATACCTCAAACTAGAAAATTCTGAGCAAATACCAGAGGAGGCAGGCAGAAATGGCTCCACGTGGGCCAGCTTTGGGAGAAATGCTAGAAGTAGGGCTGGCAAGAGGGGAGATACGGGGATGAGGGAGGACAGGACTCGTGAATTGGATGTGTTGGAGATGGATGGGGTGCGAGGGCATCTGCATATAAATATACGTGCAAACTTTTCTAGGGTATTTTTCTCATCCATCCATATAGGCAGGTCTGGCAAGTGGTCCTCTCTCCTTATGGATACCAATGTCTGAGGAAGACACAGTCACCCCTTCCTGCTATCTATTAGTTAACGCACAACTCCACTAGATATTCTGATTGATCTCTGAATACTTCTCAGCTAACAGACTACTGCCCATGCATTGCCTGGCAAACAAAATACTGAGATGTCCCAAGCATGAACCTGGGAGCTGGGCAGGGATTTTGTCTCAGTGCTGCTGCATGACATAAGGCAAACCCTGTAGCCTCTCTACACAGCTGATGCTGTAGTTTGCTCCAGTGGCAAGGGAAGAAAGAGGTGTCTACCTGGTGCATTAAAATATAAGCTCTTTAGGACGGTGTAAGTGTGTGGGCTTAGCTGTGATTGCCTGTGTCTTCTGGGAGCCGAGTCTCACGCCTGCTTCACTGGGCTGAGAGATGGATTTTGCCCAACCCTGAAATATTTAACCCTACGTGGCAAGAAATATGGGGTGCATGAGATTGCTGGTCCTACCTTACAGCACTGGACCATCTCTTGGGCACTGAACGGCAATGTCCGGTCTCTGCTTTCTTTGCTGTCTTCGCACAACCGTTCCTTCTGTGTTAGCGGATTCAGGCTGCTACAGCCAGCCTGGGGGAAATCCCCAGAAAATCTGGCAAAGCTGCAGACTCCCACTTCTGTAAAGAGAAGGGCATACAGGTTAGGCACCAGGTCTCTTAGGACTGCCTCTCAGCTTAGGCAGCACGAAAAGAAAGCTGTTGCCGCACAGTCCAGTTGAGCACAGGGGGTATGATGAGACACATTTCCCAAAAGGTTTGCAGCACTTCAGGTACCTTTGTCTGGATCAGGAGCTCTAACTCCCCTAATTTTAAATGGGGAAAACCTAGTTCATCTTATCAGGGAGTTAATAAAATGTTAAGGATAAGGTTTGGCTATTCCAGTCTCCCAGGGAAGGCTTTTTGGTGCACGCTGTGCTCGGAGATCACGGGACACCAATCCCACCTTGTCCTGGCAGGAATTTGCTGAACGTGAAGCTCCAGGTCTCACATGGGTAAAGGTCCAGCAGAGTGAGTCCGAGGACACACAGAGCATCCATGGGCTTGTTGTTCTTCAGGAAATTCAGGATCCCATCTGTACAAATACAAGAGAGATGTTCATTAAAATGAAACATCCCTGGAAGGCATGCAAGAGCCAGAATTTCTGCTGCTCATGGGGAGGAGGATGTAACCCCAGCCACAGATAGGCAGAGCTGCTGGATTCAGCATCTAGGATGGAGATCCATAGTGGTGTAGCCCATCCCCTCAAATCAGAGTATGAGCAGACCTGCCTTTTGAAGTGGTGCTGAGCACAGAGTTAAAACAAGGCAGAGCTAAGGGCAGAGATGTAGGTGAATTCAGCACTAACCCACAGAAATGAGCACCTAGAAGTAGAAGAATTTCCCTCTGGAGCAGCTGCATTGCTGCAGTGCCGGGTCTGTGCTGAGCACGTGCTGCCCTTGGTACCTGCAGACGGCTTCTTCCAGGTGGATGTTTGTGCAGCGTGAGCTTGGCAGCTGACAAACCCATTTCCCTGGGGAGCTGTGCAACACTCGAACCCAAATTTCCTAATGTGAAAGGCCAGTGAGTTCCCCACCTGTGGCATCCAGGCCACTAATTTACTTTGGCTCTGGACAAGAGATGGGAAAGCTCAAGCTACACCAAATCTACAGTGCCTCCCCGCAGAGACGATCCGATCACTTTGCAGAGCTGGACCTAAACATAACAGCACTGAAAAATACAGACAGCAGAGGAAAATATGATGAAAGTCGCTTTGTTTTTTATTCCTGTTTCCAGCCTCAAAGTTCTGGGTTTTCCACGGGAACAGGATTTCTCCCTTATCACTCCCTTCCTCACCCCCTCCCTGCTCAGGCAATGAAGGGCTATTTCAGGCATTTCCTAAGGGAGGGCTCGTGCCTGTGTGCCAAACTGATGCCTCTACAGGCTCCCCG